ATAGCGTTTTGTCCTGCTTGGCTGGCTTTATTGCGTGGGCATCATTAATCTTGCCCCTAAGAAACATTTGTTTATGACTGGATGGGAAGGACTAATGACTTTGTGAACCCACCCAAACTGAGTCAGGAGGAAAGCAAGAAGGCCAGGCGCCACGAGGCTGAACCAAGAGGTGGCTGAACCAAGAGGGGGAGATGCAGAGCTGGGCTCAGAAGCAAATGGGGCCTGTATCCAGCGCCTCAGCACCCTCCCCTAGAGATAGATGCTAGGGTGCATGTTGGGGGAGGATTGTGGAGCCTGTGCCCAGCACCCTGGTCCCTCTCACAAAACCTGGAGATGTTGGAATGTGTATGTGTGTGACTATCATTCTAACAGGGCTTGCTTCGGGTGCCACTATTACCCTGGAGAGCACTGGTGTGGATGCCAAGGCCCCATTGCTCAATTTCCGGCTACTCCACAGCAGTCTTGCAGCTAAGCCTGACTAAGTTGAGGGCTTGGGGCCTCTCTGGGGTCTCGCACCATTAAGGGCAAAACTAATGGCCCTCCATCTTTAAAACTGCCCTCCCCAAGTGAACACAGAGAAAAGATTCTAGGTCCCTTGCTCACCTATCAAACTGAGCCAATAGGGCTACAATGCACTCTTGTTTTCTGACCCCACAGGAAACAGTCAAGAGCTTACAGGCTACCAGTACAATCAAGCCTTATTCCACAGCAAACATTGATTATTAATGACACAGACTGCGTGGAATGATAAATTGTAAAATGCATGCTTGTTTGCATGCAGCCTGGTGAAAAAGGCCTGCTAACTGCATAACCCTGGAGAATAGCACGTGTTCCTAACACATGTGCAATATGCCAAATGCAAGTTTGTATATGACATGTCAGATTCGGGCCTTTCCTGGCTCATAGTATCAATTGCTAAGGGGCAAAAAAAAAAAAAAAAAAAAAACCCACTACTACAGCCAGGACAAAATACTTACTATCCTAAAGCTTTCTTTGGAAGCTAATTTCAAAAGGTACTATCAATTAAGTTATTAAAGAGCTTTTCTGATACTATTCTGCTCAAATATGACCCCATTTTACAGAAAAATTATCCTTATTGATGAAAAAGTGCAAATCAAGTGTGCAAACCCATAGGAAATAAGCAGATTCTTCCAGGTCAAATAAGATTGTCAGGAGTTGATTTTTCTGAAGTTGGATTTAAGAATCCAAAAGCAAATGTATTGCTAGTGGAACAAGTTATATATATATGTGATTTAAAAAATAGGAATAATGCACGGAACTTACGACTTTTCATTTAAACATAATTTCTGAACTGTTATGTAAGCAACTCATCTAGAAGCTACTGCTGCCACTATATATGTATAATACAAACACCAGCCTTGACACACATACCTTCAAATGCCTAATTTTCAAACATTCGAACAAGAGGGCAAACAAGTTGCTGAGAAACTTTCCTCGGGTATGTACACACTTCCAGGGACCGCAGCGAGGTCACGGCAGCGCCCCGCTTAGCCCGGGGGCTCTTTTCCAGCCTCAGGGACTCCAGGCCCAGGAAGGAAGGACAAGGGCCCCAAAACTCACTCCCCATATCTGAAAGATCTAGAAGGGCCTGGGCAGGGAGCCGAGCTGGGTCTTCACCTCGCCATGCTCCTCCCAGCACCCTGCTCAGGTCGCGTCCGCTCTGGGAACAGGGACCAAAGCTGTCCCCAGCTCAAGCTGCTCGCCTGCCACCTACGACCTCCGAAACCGCACGCTGAGGACAGCCTCCCGAGGCCTGGCGCTAGCTGGGGCCGCAATGTCCCCGGGCCAACCAAGCCGGGGCCTGAGGGGACGCGGAAGGTCACGGACACGCGCCCTTCGAACACACCATCCTCCACCCCGCCAACAAGGCTCGCTCGCCTCCATTAGGCCCAATGACTCCCCTACGGCAGCCATTCGAAGTGATTTGTGGCTTCTGTAAGCTGATCTCGCAACCCAAGCAAGGACGCGCTACTGCCGGGAAAGCGGCGGGGCCCACTCCAACTAGGCTGTCCCTGCCCGGCCCGCAAACGAGGCTGGGGTGAGGGGCGCAACGCGCGGTTTCCTGCCAGAGCGCGACACCAAGGAGACAGCTGGAGTAGTTAGGGCGTCCAGGCGCGCTGTCGCTCGTGAGCAATGCAGTGCCTCTGACCTTCCCACCCCGGGTTGTGTTCCTAAACACACGTGTGTCTTCCAAACAAAGGTGGCGAGTGATAAGTAAATAGTTAATAATCAAGGTCTGAGCTCGGGCGAGGAGGTAGTGCAGGGAATAGGAGGGGAGAGGCACAGGCTGACTAGGGCCCCCCGAACTAGGGTCCGGGAGGCTGCGGGGCGGAGAGGGCAGCGCTCCCGGCCTTGCTGGGCCTAACTCCTGGACCGTTTCGGTGACCCTCATCCCCGCTACACCTCTCCGTGCTCCCTACCTGCCCGGCAGCGCCGGCTTCCCAGCTTCCACGCCCCAACCTGTGATTAAACCACCAAACCTCACAGAGAACTTCTTTGACTCTATTTTCTCCCCAACTTACTTCGGGAGCCAGCCAGAGACAACAGCGGGGGCTCGTGGAGGAGGGAGACGCTGGAGGCGGGAGGCGTGGGGCTTGGGAGGAAGGAGCGAGCAAACACAAACAGAAGCCGGACACCCAGGCCGCGGCGGGTAATTAAAGCTAATTAACTGAAAAGCTTTACCGTCGGGGCGCCGCGTCCGGGGTTGCGTCGGGGGCCAGGCGCTAGGGCCGCCAAAGGCAGGCCCAGCCAAAAAGCAAGCGGTGGCCGCAAGCTCTACTGTCTACCCCTGTTAAGCCGGAGAAGTCTCGAGCCGTGCGGTCTCTCGCTGCCGGAGCAGGCCAGGTCTCGGAGTCGGTCACCCCGTCCTAGAGGACAGAGGCGTTGTCACCTGCCGTTGCTCACCTTCCGGGCCTCGAACAAACCCAGCTTCGGCAACTGGACCGCTCTGTCCTTAAGTCCCGGCTGCACGCTCGGCTCTCCAAAGTGGACAAGGCACAAACTCCTAGAGACGTGCTGGTGGATTCTTTCCATCACCCCTCAGGGAGGCAGCCTAAAGCAGCGCAAGGAACTGGGGCCGCCGCCGAGCCACAGGCTCCGACGCTGCAAGCACGCCAACCGGCCGGCTAACCCAGCAGCACCGCGCCCTGAGCCGCGACGATCTTCCCCGGCTATTAGGTTACAGCTCTAGGGGAGGAGACGGAGCGAATCAGAAGCCAAGTAAAGCAGTTTTTGACTGAAATTAGAGTGTATTTATTTGCAGCAATCCTTTAACAATGATCAAATTTTGACAACAAGCAACAGCAATTACTGCTAAGTGTTGTCTCTAGATAGAGTGGCAGATAGCAGGAAACTGTATTATCTAGAAAACAAACTGAAAGGCCCTGAATGTCTGTAATCAAATCGCCATCTCCCCAAAGTCTGATTGACAGGGCAGATTACCCCCAAGATAATGAATTTATTACATTTCCTGGGTTATTTACAAAGGGGGAGGGCCAATCCGGATTACCCCCTAGGTTTAACTGTAAATTAACAAGAAAAATTGGTTTGAAAAGAAACCATCTAGTAAAATGTTCTGCTCTTCTCTCCTTTTTGTTATTGCTTTAAACTTTTTCAAGAACGACTGTTCTACAAACATACCTTCTAAAATAGTTTTTCAAAGATTAAATATCCCTTTCCAACCCATAGTATATTAACAAAAACACCTTCTATGTAATACATGAAGGATTGTAAATGCGGATGATTTATATACATGCATTTAAAAACTGGTTTAATTTTCCTTTTAGAAAGGACTGAAATTAATAGTTAAAATTTGTTCTGCATTTGGCTTACAGGGATGTATAAAAGACATCTTAATTTTGTATGTGAGACAGAGGCCAAATCTTCTCCTATGTCTCTCTGGAGACATATTTTCATCTCTGAGCACACAGGTATCACTGTGGTAAGACTGCTGCCAATTCATAGGCTTAAGGTTTCCAAAACATGTTCTATCATTACTGAGAAAACTATTTGTTTATATGCCCACTCAGACCTATTTAGGATAATATCTTGTCACTAGCCACAAAGCAAGCTGATTATATATAGTACATTTTGCAGAAGATGCTGCAGAAAAATAATCTAAGCAAAAATAGACGGTTATGTGACATCTGACAGGGAAGAGTCAGAGGATTTCTCCATAATCCAGAAGAGATTTAGGTGGAGAATGGACAATTACTAGTGTTTTATCTCTGAAATCTTTTTTCTTATAATAATTAAAGCTGTATTAAAGTATCCAGACATATAGGTCTCATTCAAATTGAATGGTAATTTATTAATAAACAAACAATGAGTATGTTCAACAAAAAGAAAAGTTGATAGAATAAGATTAATACAGTTTCCCTTTTATAATGAAAAAAAGCACAATTAAAAGTTTCAGGCAATTTAACGTCAGGTTTTGGAAACACTTTCTGGCGTTTGGTCCACGACATCCAACTACAAATTAAAAATAAATTACTATGTTGCAATTTACATTTTAAAACAAGTCCATGAATATAAAGAAAGCGATTTTCATATACGGGGTTTTCCCCCTCCTTTAAACATTGGATAAAATATCTTACAGATGGAAGGCCACAGAAGAAGGGCAGGGGATGGGACAGGGCAGAGGAGGAAAGCGTGATCTCTGAAAAGCAAGAAGACACTTACGTGTTATCTGGAGTAACACTGTCCTTTAACAGATCATGCTTTTGCGGGTTTCTGTACACAATAGTTTACTGTTTTGTTTATTTAGATAAGGCAAAGTGGAGGTGGCTCTGAATTAATCTTTTAAGAAAATAGAGTTTTCTTTGTGCTGGTGAGTTGAATTTTTGGAGGGATTCTGTTGGCTGGTGTGGAGAACATTTTTTAATTAGAAGTTTTTGGTTTCGATTTTGCATAGATGGGTTCTTTGGGCTGCTCCGGCTCTGGGATTCAATTCAGTTCGGTTATGAGGGTACTGTGGATTGTCAAAATTTGCTGCAATCGTAGACGAAAGCCCCAGACGTGCGGTACAGAGACTGGCTGGAAGGAAAGGCCATCTGACAGCTACTATTGCCGTTCACCGGAGAGTTGTTCAAGCCAATCCTCTGCGATTCAAACATCTCCCGCACCGAGTGGAAGTTCTGCTGCTGCCCAGGGTAGCCCGCGGCAGCTGCTGCCGCTGCCGCGCTCGCCAAATGGCCCAGGTCCCCTGCCGCCTGGTTCAGGTACCACGAAGCGAGGCGGCCTTGGTGGGCCGTAGGGTGGTGGCTGGCCTCCTGGCCTCCACCGTGACTCAAGGACGAAGAGCTACTGCTGGTGACCGGGGGCAGCGAGTAGTCCGGCAGGGAGTCGTCCACAGCCGAAGCGCCCGCACCCCCCGGTGCACCCTGCAGGTGGCCGCTCCGCTCGCCAGCTGCGTACAGGCTCATGGCCTGCATGTTGCAGTGGTAAGTTCCGGCGGCCCCCGTACCCCCAGCGCTGCCGCCGCCACCGCCTCCGCTGCTGCTGCTCCCGCCTGAGCTGCCGGCGCTAGAGCTCTGGCTGCAGGGCGAGCTGTAGAGGGAGCTCTGGCCCGGTGAGTAAGCGCTGAGCGCAAGCGGGGGCGCCAGGCCCGGCCGTGAAGACGCGACGGCGGCCGCCGAAGCCAGCAGGCCAGAGCTGAGCTCCGCGGCCGCACCTTGAGGCGACCCTCGCAGCGATGTCATGATGTTGTCCACGCTGAAGCCTTGGCTGTGATGGGGCGGCGGCGCGGGCGGCGCGGGAGGAGGGGGTTGCGCGAGCTCAGCGCCGTCCAGGGTCAATGGGCGCGCCGCCGGCAGGCCGCCGCGGGGGCTGCTCCCGCTCGACAGGCTGCTGCTGCTGCTGTCTGGGCTCTCAATCTTCGGCACAGCGGCGGCGGCGGTGGCCGGGGACAGGGGCTGGGGCGGCGAGGAGCACGTACCGTTTTCGGTTTTAATGTCTTGGAGGCGCACCGGCTGCGGCTGAGCTCCGGGCGGCCCAGCCGCCGGCCCCGTGGCTCCGGGCGCGCCGCTGTCGGCCTGCTCTGGCGGCACCGGAGGCGCAGGCGGCTCCTTGAGGTGCAGTCGGTCTTTCTCCTCCTTGTCTTTCACGGCATCCTTCTTCTTGAAGCGCCTCCGGCGCCGCAGGAAGCTGCCGTTCTCGAACATGTTGTACGAGTCCGGGTCCAGCGTCCAGTAGCTGCCTTTGCCCGGCTTCTTGTCATCGCGGGGCACCTTGACAAAGCACTCGTTGAGCGACAGGTTGTGACGGATGCTGTTCTGCCAGCCCTGCTTGTTGTCCCGGTAGAAGGGGAAGCGGTCCATGATGAACTGGTAGATGCCATTGAGGGTAATCTTCTTGTCGGGCGCGTTCTGGATGGCCATAGTGATGAGCGCGATGTAACTGTAAGGCGGCTTCACCATGTCCTTGGGCTGCGGCTGCGGCGTGTAGGGCCCGTAGGCGCGGGCCATGCCGCCCGGATACTGCTCGGCGTGCGCCGCGGGGTGCGAGTACATGCTCATGGGAGCCGGCATGGCGGTGTAACCGCCCCCAGCCGCCGCCGCCGCCGCGCGGTAGTAACTCTGCTCGCCGCCGAGGTAGGACACCACTCCCAGGGAGTTGGGGCTGGACACGGAGTAGCGCGCCTGCATGGCCGCCGCCGCGAGCCCCACTCGCCGCCGCCCGCCGCCCGCCGCCCCCCACCCTC